ATTATAATATTGACCTAATAGCCCGCCTATTTTAAGAAATTCAATGCCACACGACCATTATATTTCCTTCCTCAATCAATGAACCGGTTTCCCATAGACCCCCATTGAAAAAGAGACAATGACATTCACTTCCCAGGAAGAAAATCTTGGCGCTACAAACACTTCAAGTCAAATACAATTAGTTTATTAATCTTAGCTTGAATTGATTCCAGGAGATAATTTTTTTTTAAATTCATGTTCAATGTTGAGTTATTGAGGTCCGAAGTTCTGTAATAATCGAGAGCTTGCAAGGAGGAGGAGGAGGAGGAATTCCGTAAAGTAGTAGAGAGGACGGAGTTTGTCATGCGGGAAAAACGTCTACGATGTCCCGTCCGAAAAACACAGGGAAACGTAAAGAGCAGAGAAAGGAAACAATAGACGGGGAAGGAGGAAGGAAGGAAAGAGGAGGAAAGCCGGCGGGCAGTGTTAGTAATCACTTGTCGCTACACATACACATCTACCCACCCACACACACACACACACACACAGACACGCACACGCACACACACACGCACGCGCGCACACACACACACACATACGTGCTGTTCTGGAATTGGCTGCTTTTAAAATTGTGCTAAAAGTCCAGAGTCCTTTAAAAAACGCAAAAGCAGTATACCTGCATATGTCTGCGGCGGGCTCGAGAGCCCCATGGAAAAAATAATCTCATCAGTTTCCTCCAGTGGAAGACGAAGGTCCGGAAGCTGCTGGGAGGATCTCTGCTTTTGAACGAATTGTATTTAGGAGATTCCCAAAGCATGTGGTCGGCGTCTTCTGAGACCTTGCAAGCGTCACATAGAGGCGACTTCCTTTTGCCCCATTGATGAGAGCTTGTAATAGCGTGAAAACATGGTTGGTCCATCAGGGATTTCCCGCTCAAAAAATTTCGCGAATATTTACTATTTCAACAGATTAAACATGTATTAATGTGAAACCTTTAACTGTCACATGAAGGGAAGCCGGCAAAAAACGCCACCTAAATTCCCGCTGGACGAGTGTAACGAGGGCTAAATTCCCATTGGGTGCGACGCGTCGTGTGGCTCTATAGCGACGGGGTCATCGTTGCTAAGGGGCCAGCAGAACAGCTGGCGGCGCAGCAGTTAAAAGGGGGGGGGGGGGGGGGGTGCTGGCGGCGCTATAGTAGCTACGCTATAGTCAGCTACGCTACTATAGCGTAGCTCACTATACATATTGCGCTAGTCTGGGACAGTATTTTTATATTTTGTCTAATACTGTTTTAGGGAGTTTATAATTACTTCGTACATCATAGATCTGACTGTTTGCTGTAGGTACTTAACCTGTATATCCTGAAGTTGTTCCATACCAAATTTCGCAATTTTCTGTATTCCTGATTCCACAAGACAATCTGAGGCAAAAGCAAACAGATTGTATTTGGACTTTTCTGGCTGTGGACTTGCGTTCTGGCTGTGGACATGAGAAAAAATGTGGACAAGTGTTCATTATAAACTTTGTGAATATTATTTTTGATGGTTGATGTCAAACTTGTTGCTGCGAATAATACTAGTGATGGACGTGAAAATAGTTTTGAATAGACATTTTGAAACAGTCCTACACTTCCTTCCTGAGTAAGCCCCACCAAGTTTTAAAAGTAGCGCAAAGTGCGTCGATGAAAGGGACACGCGCAACGTGCAGCCCTCTGCAGATCATGTCGGAACAACGCACCACTGAGCTAGATTTCAGATGCCATGTTCTTTCCAGAAGTGGCGTGCGGCCCGTGCTTCGAGCATTTCTACAGCAATGAATGGCGCCACTTTTCCCAGGATAGAAGGGCTTCAATTCCGCTCGGGCTTGGACGCCACGTGTCGTCGCGCAATCGAACTAAAGCGAATGTCTCGGATTCCCGGCCATGTTTTGCGGAGAACACCACATCGAGGTGCTTTGTCTTGCATTGCCTGACGCTTTTTTCCAACGTCTAAAGTTCTTTTGGGTAGCGTCCCGAGACTTGACCTCTAACATGTCTTTCGGGAACACGGCAGAACCTCCATCTTTATCGGCCTGCAATAAGCCAAGATGATTACGTTTAAAATACGCTACTACATTATTTAGCATGCTTCCACTGGACACTGATGACGTTTTTGGCGCACATCGCAACAAGAGTATACGCGTAACGTCTTTGGGCTCTTGAGAATCTCCCCAAATTGTCATGCCATGTTTACTAGAGTTGTCGACCGAGGTTTTTTGGGAATTCCTGGTCTGACGCGTTGCCACAGGAATTCTGCTACCTGTCGAAGGTGTTCTTGGTGCTTTCGATATCCTGTAGTGGCAGCGTTATCGCAAACACAGCGCCTTGAGGTAGTCGGGAAGGAACCACACTTGCCTCCAGCACTCAGACCTCAAAATCTTACAGATCGCTTGGTATGGCCGCTTGATGCTTGTAGGCAGCCGAAGAGGTTTTTGCTTCTGCCGGTGTTTGACCGTTCTTGATGCAGGAGGAAAGGCATTGAGCGTGACATGTTGACAGAGCTATGAGGTTGACGCAGACGTTATTGACGTTGCCGTTGAAACACGTAAAAGAGCTCATTGTTTAAGAAATGAACTGAACTAACCTTTGAGTCTTTGTCTATTGTTGGCGCTTTTTATTTTAGAAGTCATGAACCAACTCTCCCGCCTTGCCGCTTTAGTAAAGAAATAGCGTCGTCACTACTGCGCGCGCGCCGAGCCCAAACCGCGTTTCCATTTTGCGCATGGCGGCAACGCCGTTTTTTGCGTACACTATTCTAAAACAGGCTATTGTGACAGTTGCTTGTAGCCCTTCAAAGCAAAAGGGGGCCCAGCACTGGACTGAGCTTTACTTCGTTTCAGTTCAAGTCCAGACGTAGCCGTCACTTCGAGCTAATTGGACGAATCGTATACAGCGTCAAATGCGCGCCATCATGGTGTTCATTATGTTTCTGTGCGTGTTCTATCATCGCTGAACCAATCATAAACAGAAAAGGCCATGTGACTTGCGCTTTTGACGCTGCTTGATTGGTCCCATTACTTCGCAGCGTCGGCTGCGTCGGTGCCTAAGCTGAAACGCTTAGTACCAACTACTTCACTGTTCACTTGCCCGCTGAATCTGCCTCTGGCGTCTCCAGTTTACATTAATTCTGCACTGCCGTAATGCGTGATTGCGACTAATTACACACACAAGCGCTGTCGCGTGTCCTTGTCCGACAGCTTCAAAGCCGCTTAACTGAATTTTGAAATCCCGCTAAAATACTTTACGATTAGAAAAGACCAGGACGACGCGACCTAACCGCACGCATACCATTGCAAATACGCGGCCAGTGGCGAAGCAGCCGAACGGAAAGATGGCGCTGGTTACCGGCCCTTCCAAAAAAAAACAACAACAACAAAAAAACACGACGTTGTGACACCGAGCCGTCCAAACGTCTCACTGAGATCCTTTCCCCCTAGTAAAGTACTGTTAGCATTCTCTCTGTATTGTCGTGACTTGAGGTCTTCCCCCTCCTTGCGAATATCAGCAGATTTCCCGAGAACTTTTTGCGTGCGCAAATGTTTGTTGATAAGCAAAATCTACCACTAAATTTTCATAGTTTGTAATTTGAGTAGAAGTTACTGGGAAAAAGTATTTAGACTAAACTACTAAATGTCAATATAAAAATGTATTTGTTAGATACTATACTCCGTTTCACCTTATGTTGTACCGCAGAGAAGGCCCGAAGCGCGAGCTCAGCGTTGGGAGCTGCTCTTATCGCACGAGAGCTTGTGCCGCCGAGATGTGCCCTAGAGCAAGGAGCTCGCGCATGTAGACTTTTCTGCGGTATATCATAAGGTGAAACAGAGTATAAATTACTTTGAAAAGTAGTGATACAATCGTAACTTTGCTAGTAGAACTCTGCGAGTGGTGTCAGCGCGAGCGCCCCTTCAAGTCTTTCATTGTATCACCGATTCCTCGCCTACAATGTTCTCTCACTTGCGCAGGAAGATGCGCAAAAGGCATGACGTCACGACATGCGCTGTGTGACGATACGAGCTTTGGAATTCTCGTCCTTATACTTTGAGGCCAAATGTTCAACATGGTCGTTTTGTAGCTTTGGCGCCTTCACTGAAATTATGATCGAACTTTTTTAATATGCCGAGATCACGACACAAACGTATGAGAGCACCAAGAGGAGATCCGATTGTGTTCGCACTGCTCATACATCACACAAACGACAGTCTGCAAATGCGAGTTACCGCAATATCCGCGGTTCGCATGCCGCGTGCCACGGTTCCACCTTGAACTCATTGCCATGCGGCATTCTAAGCACGGATCTCCGTGGTGACTCCCGTTCCAATCTGCATGCAGTCTGTCTCTTGTATGATGTATAAGCAGTATGACCCCGGCTTTAAGGTTTCTTTTGTTATTATTCGATGCTTATCACCTCAAGCAAGTGGATTAAAGTGAGCAAACCAACTGGTTTCGCGTGCTCGAAACGAAACGAGTCAAATCTCATGTGAGATTATGTGTCGAAAAGAAGAACCAAGTCTAACGAACATTGTGTGAAGACCGCAAAACCATCTCCTTAGGCGTGTAGTCATTCACAACTTGAGAACGGCATGGACGAGCCTCTCGCCTCTAGCGCGAGCATCCTACCTGCAACAACATTTCGGCGTCTTGTGCACAAATTTGGGATACAGCGCGCAGCCGAAGCACGGCGGAAAGCATGAAGCGCGAGCTGGAGGACAGGCGTTCAAAAGACACACCCTGCCGTTCCCATTTTATCAGTGACTACCGTATTGATCATGCTTAACTCGAGACTATACCGAAATGCAGGCCCATGCATGCCTTTGCCTGCCTTTGCCTGCCTTTGCCTGCCTCTGCCTGCCTTTGCCTGCCCTTGCCGGCCTTTGCCTGCCTTTGCCTAAGGCTACGATAATCAGGCTTTCTTCCGAACTATATCAAAATACAATCCCATTAATGGAGCTTCTTAGGTCCATCTCTATACGATACTTACGTTGTTTGCGAGGATTCTTCGAAACTTCGTGCGTCGTCAAGTTCTTCCCGGTGCACTCTCCGTCGCCACATGTACCAACTTGGATCACCGAAGCATTTGAGGAATACTGTGACAAGGAAGCAGAAATGATCCCCATCGCCCTTCAATCTCGCACACAAGGCTACCGAAAGTGCTCCCGGATCTTTCCTGACACACCAGCTAGCTCCCTTTGTTTTTAGGAGAGAGAGCTAGCTGATGTGAAAGTGTGAATAGCTTTACGCCCGGGCGTATACTACGAGCCATCGGAGCCAATCCAAGGCCGTGTGAGGTTCCCATCATCTTCGGGAAGAAGCGCCGTGACGCTCGAGAAGCGCAGTCACGTGCTGCGTATACACAAACTACATGGACTGAGATGGCTCGTATAGCGTCCGCTTCGACCGGACGTAAAGTGAAACAGAGGGTTTCGCAAAATATACCTCTCACTTTCAGAAATAATGTAAGCACAGTCAACTCTACCTGCTAATGAGAATCGCACGCTTGTATTTTAAACAGATGGCTATATTTCTCGTTTCGAAGGACCGATTCCAGCGAACGCTCGAAGATCAGCCATTAAAGAGCGCGGTGAACATCACGGGAGACGTGACGTCAACTGTTCCAGCACGGGCAAAGCTGCTTGGGTGCTGGCGTGGTTATGAGCTCTGCCACTTGGCGTGGTCGATGCGTTGCAACCTGGCACCTGCCCCCCCCCCCCCCCCCTCCTTCCCCCTCTCCCTCCCCTTCTTTTTGCAATTCTAGTGGTATTGATGACGAGATGTTTCGGTGAGTTGCTCTTTGGCCGCGGTCACACTGGAACTGCTAGTACGTCATTCAAAAGACAGTCTTGAGACACTGTCTGACGCGTGTTTCTTCCTTGTATGCAGACATGTACAAGTTACTCAAAAAAAGTAATTAAGTTAAGTTACTGAGTATTGACGTCAAATGTAATTTTAATAGAGTAGCAATTACTCAAATAGAAAGTAATTGAGAAAATTACTAATTACCGTAAAAAGTAGCGAACTACTATTTGAAGTTACTTTTGAAGTTACTTTTATATGTTTTTTTACGGTAAAAAGAAAGTGCAGAGGTTTTGATCCTTTAGCTAAATTGTGCTAGCCAAATATGAATCGGCTTGTTTTTTTTTCACAGAAATGCTTTAATAGCTGGTTCTGCTTCTTGTGCCTAATTGTGTTGTACTTCCTTGTTTGTTTTTTCAATGATGTAGCGCGAATGTGTCATTTCTACTTCGAGGTTGAGAGCTGTCTCAGCTTGACTTTTTAGGCAGTGATTGCTTGTTCACAGTGTTGCGTGAAGTACATATAAAAACTACTTGAAGTAATGTACAAAGACAATTAGAGTTTAGGTACTTCAAGTAAAGTAGTAGGACACCGGGTGCAATGCACTTGAAGTAACGTATAAAAATACAATATATTTCAAGGTTAAGTACAAGCCCTTTTAACACAATCTATCATGATGCCCTTTCATTCTCTATACAGTGCTTTCTTAACCGGTATGCACTGCTCCAAGGGTAATCGGAGCTGCATCAGTTTGTTACTGAAATGGCAGTAAATATTGTATAAGGTCAAGGCGCCGCAGAGTAGCTGTTTTACTTTCGCTGACGAGTTGTTTGACACAATAAATTTATATGGCACTTATTTGTTGCGGTCTTATAGCCGCCATTACTTCATTCAGAGAAATGACTAGACGACGTTTCGAAAGAGCGCGTTTTCACACGGCGATAGGCCATTTTTTGTTTTCGAATTCGGAGAATGTACATTGAAATCAGGAGTTTTACTTTCCTCGGAAAATGCAAGTACATGTTCAGAACCTTTATTTCAAGTACAGTACAACTTTTAAAAACAGTAGTACTTCAAGTGTCATGTACGCAAAGTACTTTCCAACACTGCTTGTTTATTATTTCTTCCATAAAAACGTTGGGCGAATTACTATACGTCTCTCGAACGATCTTTGAATCTTTGAAGATCTGCATATTCTGTGTTTTGGGAAGAAATGCAACGCAAAAGAGTAATCTTTGCGTTGCCCTATAAGTCTCCTTGAGCTTCGGGACAGAAAAACGCCAGTCTCCGGCGCTAATCCCGCAGTTACTCGGCCTCTCTTGCGTCGTGTCTGTTCGCTCCCCGCGCCTCGTAGCGGTGGTGTTGTAGTGAAGGGGGGGGGGGTCTTGTGAAAATTTTGAGGCGGGTTTCGAACCTTCCAAAACATTTTCTTCTCCCCCCCCCCCCCCTTCTTTCCTACGCCACATGCTTCCCCATCTTTGCAAATTTCAACTGATCTTCCAAAATCTTATCTCTTCTGTGCAGGAATGTTTGTTGATAGGCGGAACAACCGTTAAAATTCGGAAGTAATTTGTAACTTGAGTAATAGTTATTCAGAAAAAGTAATTAAAGTAAACTACTAATTACCGAAATAAAAACGTAATTAAAAGTTACTAAACTACTCAGAAAAGTAGTTAAACTACAGTAACTTGAGTAGAGTAGTTGAACTACGTACAAGTCTGCTTGTATGACGGTTCTCGACCTCGGCAGTAGCAGACGAGGTTTTTGAGCCAGAAGCCACGCGCTCTTGTTTTGCGCGAATTGTCGGTGCATGATTATTTTATTTAACCAATAAAACATAAAAAACTTATGACTTTTTAGATTGTTGTACATCCTTGGACGTGTATTTTTAATGCAAAAGCATTAACTGTCTTATGTAGCGTGCTGACGTCATCAGTCTAAAGCACGAAAACGGCAGATAGTTTCCTTCGGTTCCATTGGCTGGCGCGTGTCGACGGGGCTCCCATTGGCCGCTGCGCGCGTCGACGGGGCTCCCATTGGCCGCTGCGCTCGTCGGTTTCCACGACCGCTCACCCCATGGCGCTGCGTGTTCATCAGGGCGGCGCGTCCAAGGTCACCAGGGGAGCACGTGCACCGACCGGCGACGAAAAGTATGCAGCAGACGAAAAAGCGAGCGGACGAGCGGCTTTCATGCTTTCGAATTCACAACTCATAAGTGCTCAGATGTACCTCGATTTTTTTTTTGTTTTTTTTTCTTTAGTTAGGTTCACGAGCAGTGTTGAATAAACGGAATATGAGTGCAGTGCAACTAGGACTTTATTTACAGGGTTACTTCTGGTTTAGTCTGCCTTATTACGTCATGTTTTGCAGATAACAATTAACTTCTCTTTAACATTCACCAACGTACCACACATTCTCGCCCTTCGTCGACGTAGTCGTAGTCCGACCCAGATACGCACGTGCAGTCCTTGAGAGCTTGAGCCTTGAAGAAAGAAGCAATCTATAAACATAATCACCTGGAATAATTTTATTTTATTTGCTACACGCGCTCTATTTTATCTTAATTTTTCCGGAAGTTTTGCCAACACACAATGTAGTTCTTAGAAAGTCAAAACTCTGAATGAAGATTCGATTGCATGACTGCCCGATCTGTAAACATAAGTTTGTGTGAACGTAAAATTCTTACGTATTTTGGGAAAAATAACAAATTTTAACCATTTTAACTGCAGAAATTTGGCGAAGATATATGCATTTAGTAGATATATTTTCGATCTAAATATAAATCCCTTTCGCGTGATTTTATTTTTTGACGTAACAAGCCATATATTATCCGCCCGGCATTGCGAGCCTCCCAGGTCATCTTGTTTCCTTGTCAACAGGAGTATTTAAATTTGATGCCTGCAAACTTGAGCTAAAGTTCAAATAAAAAAATATTGCACAAAAGCAAGGCGATTATTCAGTTTGGAGACGGGTATGACCAGAGTACCTCGTCCCTATACAATGTTCCGTGACGAAGGTTAACCTCCCACAGGTTTAAATGAAACGCTGCACGAATGTTAAAATTCTCCAGTGGCAATCAAACTAAAACATAATAATATAATTCATGTCCAGTTAGGTATATTATTTTAAGGTGAAGTGTCTATCGTATAGTTCTGTCTTGACTAGAAGGGATGGTCCTATTCTGAGATTAAATTAGCAAACCCCTTACTTTTTTTTAATAACAAGGGATACAGTTTACGAGCTCCCATTAGAAAGAATGAGAAATGTGATGATTGCTCAGTGTTGAATTTTGATAATTATCAATTTACCTCGCAGACATAAATAAAAATTAGCCCATGCACGTCTTCTGAGACTTGTTCAAGAAATGCATGCTGAGTTACTCTCTTGTAATTAGTAACTTCTGCCAGTTAGGTTCAATGTATACCTTTACCAAAACACCCAAGCACCAACGAGCATGCTGGGAACGTGTAGGTACACGTGCTGCACCTCTCGCCTTAGCTGTGTGAAATGTTCGAAGTAAATAATAAGGCCTTGATGAACGCACGTGTAGAGTGCTGTTTGTATTATAATACAAACAGCACTCTACACGTGCGTTCATCAATGTAATGTAAACATCTATAGCTGTTTACATTATTCCTGCCGCAGACGCTAGCTAGCATGTGCAGCAGAGATGTACTAGTGAAACCGTACACTCACGCCAAGCTCCTTGGTGCATGGGTAACTTGTCAGAAGATCCTTTCGATGATGCTGGCCGGCGTCCAAGGTAAGCCGCACGATGATTGATTATAAAAGGATATACAAAAATATCATGTGGCTTCTATAATCCGCTTTAGAACGTTTGCAGCTGCTTTTAACTTTTCCATTGGTCGCCTCTATGGGTGTCTTCAGCTCACCCTATAGTCCCATCACCTACTAGCTATAAATGTCTTTAAATGTTTTTGTATGGTTAGTTAAATAATTTTTACGGCTTATTCTCTGTAGCATTCCCTATAAACACATTGCCCATCACGGTTAGGAGTCTATGGTATAGCTAAAGACATTAGGCTTATTCAATTGCTCTCTATAGCCATATAATTTCGATATTCGAAATCCCAGGGGTCAAATGAAGACACAAAACCGCTTCAGCTTCCGCAGGTGGTGGCGAGTTCTGACCCCCTTGTTGTTGCTCCCCAGCCAGTGAGGTCATGACATTAGCCGATAAGAACGGGGAAGAACGACTCTGTTTGCTAAAGCACATCGATCGCTGAGACACTTGGCTTCGAATATAAAGAGCGATAGACTCACATTGTTGGGGAGTAAAACTGTCTCAGACTGACACTCTGATGGGCTGCTGTAGTAGCTACTGGAGTCCATCTCGATCACAAGAGCACCACCACCATGAGAATTGTTCGGAGCCAGTGTGACACCTGGTACGCCATCATCGGAGTTCAGGGATTCCTCTAAAACGTAAAAGAGAGCGTTGTGCATTTTTAGTTGTTGTGTCATTCAGCCATTTAGATATCAGACAAACTCATCAATCAAGACTAATCTTCATTGATTTAATAAATTCTTGGGAGTGTTATTAGAAATACCTTCATAGTGACTTCATTTATTTCTCGTTTCATAGAATATCGTTATACAATGTACGCGGAAAACACCATCATACTTCCTAAAAAAAAAAGATCCAGCGTGGAATAAGCGGAGCGAGCTTGCCACCTTGGAATGCGAGAAACTCCAGCGCCAAACGCACCCATATCTGAACTGTCAGCTGCCAAAAGTTATTTTTGTGGAAAGATGCATGCCCGAGTTCTCGTTAGGGTGCCTTGTGCGGGTCTCTCGTACAAAAGCGTTCTGCTGAGCTACTCGCCATTTTTATCGCGTGTTTTACAGCGAAGCTGTTTATGACTCGCAGGAGGGAATTTTTTTTTTTTCGTGTCGGCGATCCTTTTGGTAAAAAACCTTCAGCGATTGAAGCGACAAATGCATATCACGCATACAACATACAGCACAGCATTCGTTTCAGTAAAGAATAAGCACAAAACAAGCATCCGAACCAGATAATTGAGAATAAAGCGCTCCCGATAATAAGCGCTCACCGCATACGTTTCACGGTAAAGACTACAGTTACGCAAGTTGCCGCGGCGACGGCAGCTTGCGACGTGGGGAGTGACGTCATTAGCCTTTCATATATAAACAGTTTTGGTACATTGCATTTACTTTTCTTTCGTTAACCATTTGGTATAGACAATTTTGCTGTTTACAAGCATGAACTGCCGCTTGCGTTTCAAGCGACTTCCGATCCACCGTCTTCGCAAGCCTGTTAAGCTTGCAATTGTCACCAGTGCTAGAGAGCATAAATGCTACACGGACAACAATGTTGGAGATTTGAAAAGAAGCTGAAACACTTACTTTAAAAAAAAAAAAAAAGTTAGAGGTGAATTCTGGTATATTTCTATCCAGGAAATCTGAATGCCACGTTCGTTTTTAACGAAGATGTAGCTAAACGCGAGGAAACACGAAAAACTTTCCACCCCGCACTGGCAGTCATGATGTCTCTTTCTGACCTTTTTGAAAATAGCAAAAGCGCGCGTGCATAGCTTTGATAGGCGCTGTACATGCGCGAGAACGGAGATTCTGAAAACTCCTAATATGACGTCACACACTGGGAAGGAGTGACATCAGCGGTACTTTGAAAACTAATTTCTGCAGCCTCCGCCCACCAAATTGAAAAACAATTTCGATATTCGTGATCCTGGAGGCCAAGTGAAGACGATTGAAGTGTTTTTCCTCAAATATAGAATCGCTTCAATTTCCCTTTAGCGAGAGACTTTGGCTGTAGACTTTAACGTCTTGGAGGAGGCAAGTTGGTTTACAAGAATATTCGAAGCATTTGAACAGATCTCGCACTCCTTCGTTCTTTTGGCGAAATTCACCTGGAGATTCGGTGGTTAAACGTTTCATCTGCGTTTCAAGCAGCGGTGGTAAGGTGGCCTTTGTTCATTCTTTTATAAACCGGAAATTCTCTAGGACGTCAAAGACTGGAGCACCACCTGGTGGCGTTTTGCCACCAGGTGGTGCGTTAGTCTTTGGCGTTTTCCCTTTCCTTCGGTTCCCGCCCCCCCCCCCCCCCTCTTTACCTGCGTAAAAATTTCGTAAATTTTTTGTCACCAGAATTAAACGTCGTTGCTATTGGAAAAAAATGTGGTCGTCCGAGTACGTCTTTATGTTTTTATCCTTTCGTTTTTAATTATTCATTATAACGACACGCTCAAATAAACTAGCAGTGTAAACGTTCGGCTGGAAGTCGTGCCCAGTCAACGCGTCGAAAGACGGTCAGCGTCCGGCTGGGGCCCAATTAGTGAGTTGGCGCAACTCGAGTATGATGACGTATTGTTGAAGAAGAAATAGTTGTTCACAGGCTTGTCTGAGGCGATGAGACGGCGCATGTGTTGGCGACGTGCGCGACCGAAAGCGTCGCTGTGGTCGGCCTTCCACGATTGGCCCAAAAGCTGACTATGACGTCGGAAAGGGTATACCATCGACGGAAATAAGAGGAATGAAAGAAATTTCATTTCGACGGTGTTAGCTGCAGTGTTGCTTCGAGAGCGCAATGATTTCAGGCTTCCACCATGCTATTTACAAACACCATCGAACTTGGTGTTCGCAAGGTAATGACGTCACAAGGGGGAACCATAGGAGGGCGCCACCAAAACATCTCGCCGCTAATTGACGTAGTGATGCCGTGACAACGCGCAATGCCTCAACGCTGCGCGCCTCCGTTTCACTTTCAAAACCGATGCAGCGAGCAATGGCAGCGAGCTCTCCGAGCAGAGTGACCCAGGGCTCCAATCCAGCTTCCTTGTGTCATTTCAGAAAAGTGAAGAGTGCGCGTGTACAGATTTGAGTCGCGCTCAAGTCTCGCTGGTGCACGCACTCCAAAAGCTTTGTCAACTGAACTCGAGCGGCATTCACCGAAGGAGCGCGGGCCGCTGTGGTAGCCGGCGAAATAGTGGTGCTGCCGTCGCGGTGAGATTACAGCCCCTTCATGATTAAAAAGTAGCGCAATCTGCGTCGATGCACGAGGCACGTGCAACGTGCGGCCCCTGGGAAGATCGTGGCCACAGAGCGCAGCACCGAGCTAGATTTCAGGCGCCATGTTCTTCCCAGAAGTGGAGCGCGGCACGTGTCTCGAGCATTTCCACAACAGTGAGTGGTGCCACTCTTCCTGCAGGGTAGAGGAGCTTTACGTGAGATAGAAGCTCTCCGCGCAGAGTGAAGCGCTCCACCAGATCCGCTGCGAATCCTCCGCTAGCGTTGATGCTGACGTGCGATTGATGACCACTGATGAAGAGCGAATAACGACGATTAATGTCCTCGAGCGAAAATGTAAATCGCACACATAAATTTTTTTTTATTTGTGCGTGAACATTTTTTAAAGGGTAACTGCAAAGAAAAGAAAAAGATTTTTATAAACAGCCTAATTGGGACAAGCATGTCACAAAACAAATCTTACACGAAAAAACAAATTTTTTGTAGCGATATTTACGCCACAGGACGTAATTTAGTCGGGGACACAATTTCTCCACATTTGAAACTCCCGCTCTTTCGACGCGCGCGGAGTGGCTGTTATACGTCACTCCGTGACGTAGAATACCAACTTTGTGGCGCGCAGTTTGAAACGGACGAAACAGCCGCAAACTAAAATCAGTCTGGCGCAATAAATATTGCTGTAAACATTTTTGTTTTTGGCGGAAAAATTGTTCTGTGACATGTTTATCCTAATTAGGGTGTTTAAAAATACACTTTTTTTTCTTTGTAGTTACCCTTTAAAGGGGTACTCCACCGATTTTTTGAGCTACCTCAACTAACTATATTTTCTGACTCCCCGGCCTTTACTCTCTCCGGTATGCTATCTAGAATCGCGAAATTCATAATAGTTATTGCGAAATCGGCAAATGAAAATAATGCAAAAACCAACATTCAAATATACGCGCGCTTTTCAGGGCCGTGACGTCAGTGGCAGGCAGGCCTGCCAGTCGAGCAAGCAGCCAAAAAATAGTATATGCCAATCATTTGTTCCGTGCTGGAGCGCGGGTACTGCAGCGAGCTTCCCAAGCATTCATTTGACACCATGAAACTGCTTCGAATCTGTTTAAAACGAAATCTACTGCCCAAAGAGTGAACCCCTGCCTTCCACTGACGTCACTTTTTCATTGTTGCCAGTAGAGACTTCGAGCTTGAAAAACACGGTGAGGACCAAAACTGTAAATTCAATAACTTCGCGAAAAAACAATATTTTGACCTAATATTTGGGATACTATTTTCGCGATGATTGTTGGTTAGTTTAGCAAAATTTCAAGCAAATCGGAGACAATGAAAAAATCGGTGGAGTAGCCCTTTAAGGGGTCACGCTCTGCAATACCTTCATCAGCATAGCATCCTTCGGATCGGTAAAGAAGTGGCGCTTCTCGGTCACTTTTTGAGACCTTTCCAGCGGCAGTCTTGAACGAAGCGATTTACAGCGCGCGTCCCTGGTTTTGAGAGGGTAGGTCAGTGTTGCCCGACTGCGCTGAGCTGTGGAGTTTCTCGTCAGTGGGCTGTGGCAGCCTGCGTAGGCGCACTTCCAGACGGTGGTGGAGGCTAAATTGCCGTGTTCTATTTTTCTTTTGTGTTCTATGGCGAATAGAATTTCTCGGCGTTTTTTTAAGAATGCATTCTACTATTTTTGGGAACAAAAACAAAGCAATGAAAGCTGTTTTGGTGAGTCGGTGAGCGACAGAACAAATGCAACTGGAATGTTCGTTTTATTTTATGTTGATCTCTTTACGGCACCATACACTCAGCCGTGTCAATCTACAAAGGTTTTAACCGTCGAAAATATTTGACCACACACGATATTCCAACTGCATGCATATTCCCCATTCAAAACATAAAAATCAACGAGTCTCATCAATCGAACGACATATATTGTACGTACCCCACAGTGCCGCGTTATCCGAACAGGACTTGAGAAAGGTCTCAAATAACACACTATATCCAATAAAGTGACGACGATAGTAACTTCACGACGATCGGACGGAATCCGGCGTGTTTTGGGCACACGTAGAAAGGAGCTGCTTTTTGCACAGCTTCAAAGCAAATGAACGAAAGTTTCTCTTCCGTCCCTACACCCCGGACCCGACCCTATCAGCTATTTTTTCGCGAAGACCCGGAACACAAGCCGGGAAGGCTTTTTGGAGATTATCTCGACGGAAATAATCCTCGAAGAACGTCGAACTGCCCGCGTCGCAGGCTGCTTGACGTTCGCTCTCTTCGTTTCTTGCGAAGGCTGAGCAGGTTACGAGCCCTGGTAGTCCCTGGTTCTCTCAGTAGAAGACAACACACAAAGGGTACGCATCCTAAGCAGGCAAATAAAGTAAAAATTTCCAAGAAAAGCCGGAGAACTCCGAAGGCACGATGCAGCTGCGGAGTCGCGCTGACCGGGTTTCCACAGCTCAGGCAGGTGGCAGAAATTTCTGGCTGATAGGGGTCGCTCTGTTCGCAAAATGGCGGCGGCCAGAGAGCTTTTTCTGGAAAGGTCTATACCCGCTGCAACGGCCGGGAGCGCAACAGGTCGACATTCACCTTCGCGAAGGCTCGTCAGCGCCTGTTTCAAAGGCTCGGTATCTCGGTAAGGCAAGAGAAAGTCAGCAATGACGGCTTTAATCTGGCGCGAGTCTAAAGCGTCCATGCATGTACTCGTGGCTCTATTTCGCCTTAAGTGCAAGCGAAGCCGAAGGCCCGAGCGCAGTGGTTCTATAACGTGCACTGAAGTCACGCCAGCTGGCATTGTGGTGGCTTTGATGCTGACCATGTATATTTTACAGCGTAAACTGTGTACCATGTTTTTTCCTTTTTTTTTTTTTTTTTGAAAAAGGAAGTAGAATGCACACCGGCATGGTGCCGTGACGTTACCTCGTGCATGTCATGCATAGCACTTACTCGGCTGAATTTGCATCTTTTCGTCTTTTGAGCTAGACGACGCCATAGATACAAAGAGCTGAGTTGGATTACTACATTCACAGTTGTCATGGGGTCATCATCAACGCCCGCCTTGGTTCACGTACGCACGTACTGAATGTGGAAAACATGGCATCTCTGCACAGATAGATAATTAATTGTAATATGGCCTGAGCTCTTACGTCAAAATACGCCACAAAGCTTTTTTTTTTTTTTTTTTTCAAACGTAAGATAGGTTAGGAAAAGACCCAAATGTGAAGCGGGCCGCAAGAATCCAGGGAAGTCAAACCAGCGCTCTGAGCTAAAGTCCCTAAATAAAACTAGCGCTTGGCGTTTCTTACAAATACCGACGATCTCTGTTGGTGAACGCGAGAGACACGCACGTACCACGAGACCACGAGCGAGATCCGTACCGCAATTTCTTTTCAGGGGCCGCTCCATAGCAGCTCTACAGTGGCCTGTCGCACGAGGCACGGGCTCCTGCATTAGAGGATTTGATGATTTGATGCCCCTGGCAAGAGCCGCAAGACAAACAAACACATCAAGGGGCTTTACTGAAGGCGTGTGACTCTTCATTGTGACCATAGCCTGGCAGTTCGAGGACGGAGCCATAGAGTGCACGGTCGCAGATTTGAAGAGCGAGGATCTGGTAGCACAGAGCATTTCTCGGGGAGTCTACTGTTCAGCACACAGCCTTTGCAGCGGCGAGGACCCGAAGCATGGTTTTTAAACCCGACGAGAAAAGAAGCGGTAGCCCGGGGCGCCCGTTACATGCCTCTTGTCTGCCGCTCTACCTTTTCACTTTCGGCGGCCGTGTCACGTGACGATCTGCCAGACTTTGTCAGTATAGAGGAAGGTTACGTGGCACTGTTCGATCTCCTTTCCAATATGGGGAGGAAATAGAACATTCACGCCTCTGGTGGTACGCTACAGCTGTGGGAACAACAAACCGTATTTTCTTGTTTGTTTTTGATCCGAGAAATCGAAGATGACGATTCGAGGGCCGCTCCTCGTGCAACTAAAGCACTGGTCAGAGTGAAGCGCTCGTGCCCAGACCGTGCTAGGCGAGATTCAATTGCTTTGTTATGTTGTGTTAGTAAGCACTGCAGGCTGTGTGTATAACAAGTAGAGTGCCTTCATACACACGCGCGCTTTTGCTTGAGTGGTGACATCTCAGCCATTTTTCCGCCCAATCGTTTTTTTATGCATTTTGAAGTACGCGCAATCCGGTGTCAGTCAGCTCGAGCGCGTAGCTTTGGCTAGTGCATAGAGGCCATTTTACCGCCCAGGTCACGCACAAAATGCGCGAGAACGTCACGCGCTGGCATATTCAAGGCAACAATGGATGTCTTCACCCTGAAACAGGGAGACATGTAGGCACCCTAATAACAAGCTTGATGAAGCGCCCCCTGTAGTTCGATCTCCTGCCCAATAGGTCGTGGCCTCGGCCGCGGTAACTCTAAAATTTAAAATGAAAGCTCTTCGCGCGGCGGCAAAGACACGGCATGTTGCCATGGCATCACTACTTTATAGACAATTGCAAGCATGGCGCCACAAGTGGTGCCCCATGCGTGCAAGCGCGTGCAACGCGCGGGTGAACGTAGCTTTGGCTAGGGTGCCTTCATGTGCGCTTTGCTTAGGGTGGAGACATCTGGCCATTTTGTTCCCACTTTTACATATATTTTTTGTTCACAAGCGCGTGAAAGAGCGTGTCCCCGCACGCGTCTGTGGCGCTGACTGTGCTATGGCGACATTTTGTTTTCGTTGATTTCTTTGTATTTTCCCCGTGAGCGCTTGCTGTCGGCATCGG